ACTTGTGAATCTATGGGAAGATGGGATTTAATTTATAGATCAAAGGAGACAGCATTTTTTGCAGGGGAAGGGCAATGGCCCATTCACAGATGACAACCATCACAGGTGATAGAGCTGTAGCCCCTCTGTAAGTAAAATGCTCCTCATCTTATAGGTGAAAAGACATGATCTATGCACTGTTGAGAGGCCCATTTGCAAGTAGAAGCAATTTCCCATGCTTATTGTCTTGGGAAAAAATTTTAAATGGGTTTATGTCCTGAAGCTGCTTTTTAAAAAATGGTTTTTGCCTCCTTTCTACCTATCTTTATGACTTCTATCCTACATCAGTTGGACTCAAGGCCATGTGTATTGCATTTTGGCAGAAAATGTGTCAGCATTTTGTCCATGTCCTGAGATTTTGCCAGAGACTGAAATTAAGGGCAGTGGAATAATTTGTCAGAGGAAATTTCAAGACAGCCCAACATTCAGGCTGCAGTAATGGATATTGCTCTCTGCTTTTAGCCAGATTTAGAATGAAAATCAAGCAAAAACCAGAGACAAATGATGGAAAGCATGGCCACAAATGAAGGTCCTGCAAAGTTGGTGCCTTTGAGAGCATGATTTATGAAAAGATTAGCAGTAAAGAGAAGCCAAGTTCTTGCATCAGGACAACTGTAAAGACTGCTTGAGGGCACCTCTGAAATCAGCAAGACCCAACATTTTGAAAGCACAAAGATATAAAAGGGTAAGGGTAAATTCCTTTGGAAGACTTTGCTTTCAAAGAGCCCCCGGTTGCTTTGCTCAAGAAGGGCCACCCAGGAAATTGAGTTCCCAAGGATTCATTTCACAGTCCTTAGACATCAAAGTGTTGAGAGGACTCTACAGCAATGAAAGGGGACCATGCTGTTGATTCCGCTGGTGGTAGATTTGGGTGTCATTCACACGGTGCTGGCTTGGTGGGCAAGCAAATGCAAGAGCTGTGGGGTCAAGTAGGCTCCCACCCAGGTTTCAGAAGGCAGCCTAGGAGGCCAGGCAGTGTGCCCCCGAGACAGCAATGCATGAAGCTGTGAGATGGAAGGCAGAAGTGCTATGGAGAACCCAGGAAGATGCATTTAAAAATGCCATGGAGATGCCAGGTATACAGAACATCTGCTGAGGAAAGGTGCAGGCAGTGAGCAGAGCCACCTCGAGAGGTTATGAGGGCTGCAACCAGTGATGCTTCAGGGGATGGGCACCCAAGCCCTTACAATCTCACATCTCACCACAATCGGCTTGTGTATTAGACGAGATACAGGATTTAACGTTTGCCCTGCTGGGTTGTAATCTTGCTTTGGTCCAATTCCGATCCTTCTGTTCCTCCCTTTGGGAATAGGAATACTTACCCTATATCACTGTTATAAGTATTTTTCTTTGTGATTTTTACAGGGGCTCACAACTAAGTTTCCTTGAGCCTCACAAGAGACTTTGGACTTCTCAGCAATGCTGAAACATTATGACTATGGTGACTCTTACGGGAGACTAAATGCACTTTGTATAGTGAGATAAGCACCAGTCCTTTGGGGGCCAGAGGTAAGTGTTTGGAAGTAGGGCCTGGATGGAGGTGGACAACTGGGGGAATAATCTGGAGGGATGTATTTTCCTCGTCAGCTTTTCTTTCTCTGCTTCCTGGCTGCCATAGGATGAGAAGCTATCCTCTGCTCAGACCCTTTTACTCTGCCCTTTCTGCCATGGAGCTAGGCAAATATGGACTGAGACTTCTAAAAGTCACAAGCCAAAATAAACTCCTACTTTAAGTTGAGTCTCAGTGACAAGGAAAATTATTACGACAGATGGGCTCAGGGATCTACTTGACTTCTTTTTGTTGTTGTTGTTGTTACGGTTTTTAATCATAAAACATTAAGACCGGAAGAGAAGGCATCAAGTTTGACAATGAAAACAAAATCACCATTCCTTATCCATCCTTTCTAGACCTAAGCCTATAGAATCAGCATCACAGCGTACAGCAAATGGAGTGGCTGTGTTGTCCCAGTAAAACATTATTCACAAAAGCAGTGGGCCAGATTTGGCCTATAGGCCGTAGTATCCTGCTCTGTGGCTTTGGGCAGGCTGTTTTAGAAAAATTCCATGTGTACATTAGAATGTATAGTTTCTAATTGTGGGGCTCATTACTTTGTATTTGGTAAATCAGAACAGCTCATTAAAATGTTCATATCCTCTGAGGATTACTTAAGGCTCTACCACTTACAGTCCTAACTTTGGATGAGCTGGCTTTCTGGAGCCTCAGTTGGGAGGCGATAATGTCTCTGGGGTGATGGTGACAAAAGACACAATGTAGGTATGGTGCGCTGACACACTGGGCAGAGCACTCAGCATGTGGGAAACTGAACTGATGATGTGCACGTGCATGCTCCAGACAAGTGGATCAAAGTCCTCAGATATGTGAGCACAAAGGCCAGGAGGCCACAGCCCCAGAGAACATAAGCACCAGCCAGGCAGGATCATGCTATTTTCCACTGAGTCTTCACCCTGTGCTCCACCCCTGGTTCCTCCCTGTGCCCAGTGGTTGGGTCTGGGTGCTTTCTGTCCAAAGATTATGTTGTGGTACAGGGGATCTGGCTTCTCAGGGTGTGTCTGGGATCCAGAAAGGCTGTTCTGAAAAATTTTTGGTACTGAAGAGAGATACAAAGTCTGAAGGACTGGGCCAGGGATTTAGCTCAGTGGTTCTACCGCCTGCCTCACAAGCACAAGGACCTGAGTTTCATCCCTAGTACACCCTCCAAAACAAAAACAAAAACAACCCTCCCCCAAAACAAACAAAAAAACACAGTCTGAAGGACTACCTTGTGGCTGATTTTAAGAAACACCGTTACGTCTAAGTCCTAAAGTTCCAATTATTGGACTGGCCTTGGCGGACACCATCTAATGGACCAAGGTGTTGGTCTCCTTGACTTTCCTGCATGTCACTCCCCACACATGAAGCAATTTCATTCTCAGCAACATACACTTTTGCAGATAAAAAAGGTGACCCACACTTTCATTTTCTTTATTTTTTCATTGATACCGTATGAATACAAAGTTTCTAGAAAGCTACAAAATGTCTACCACTTTTATCAAGAAGGCATCAAAATGTGTCACTTTGCAAAGACATGAAAACACCTGCAGGAACTGACACAAAAATAGCATTTTTAGAGTGATGAAATAATTGCACTTAACTGTCATGGATATTAAAGTTATCACACATATGTACCGCGAAAGCTAGAATACATATTTTTTTTTACAAAGCACTTTATAAAAAAATTCTCTGCACACAAACCCTATAATTTTCATATAACTATCATACTAAAGATAAATTCACTTTAAAGCCAACACTTAGAACATTTTTAAACAAAAAGGTACCAGTACCTAAACACAAATGTTAACAAATACAAGAATACTGTACTGCCAAGAGGTTTAACCAAATGCCTTTTGAGAATTTCTGCAAATAGGTTAAGGAAACGTGTGTGAATTTGCCCACCCCACCCTCACTTCTCCAATCTACCCCAGAGGAACCTGTTACTCCAAGGCAGGTTCCGCAGCCCCATCCCAGCAGCAGTACAATATCAAAGGAACCACTGACCAGAGGAAACGCTTACGTCACAAGCCCTTCTTCCTACACACGGGACAGAGACAGACTGTGAGAATCCATTAAGTCTTTTAGAATGTGAATAAACACACATGGCAAAAACCAAGTTACACAAAATTGGAGCATATTAAAGAAGTAAAGGCTATTCAGGTTTTTTTTAACTGTTAAAAAATTTTTTTTTGTCATTTTTTTAGGCACGTACTGTTTTTGTTTTTATTTGTTTTTTTTCTTGTCTGCAATTATAAGCCTACTGAAAAAAAAAAAGACATACAGAAGTAAATCTTATAAGGAGGTCATGGGGAGATGGATGCACTTTTAAAAAGAAGTACAGTTAGATATAATTTACACAGTGAAAACTAATCACAGAAAATGATTAAGGCAAAAAAATGAAAAAAATCAGGGACTGATTTCCGATTGACTGACGCCTGGATTCTGTCCACTTCGCTTAGAGAGGACAGCAGAGTCATCTCATCATGGGAGGCAGATGAAGGGCAACCGGAACACAGTGCAATCTAACGAATTCTGATGCCATCCGTTTCCAATACTAAAATGATGAGTTGTGGCAAACGAGTGACTCAATGCAAATTCACAGAGTAAAACAAGTTACGGCTTAGAAAGCAGGACAATAAATACACATATTTCATCTTACTTAAGGATGCATGACTTCAGTGAAACTACCTTTGCAATGCATACATTTTAAACACAAAACCTTCATTGTTAAAGATATAAGCAAAGAATCTATGACGGAAAATAATTATCAAACAAAACACAGTAACAGCTCAAAAAAAAAGGAGGAGAAAAACACACATTTGACTGATTTCTTCCAAGTTGTGGTATAGTCCTGATGCAGAGAAGCTGGGATTCAAGCAGCTAACCCTAACCTGTGTGGAGTAATTTCCTTTTTCATTTCATAGTGTTTGTTTATGGAACTTTATAAGTACTCACAACTTGGGGTAGAACTGCAGAACCTAAAGAGGCTACAGACACCAGGGACAGACAGACAGAACAATGTATTGAGTTTAGAGGCTAACTTGCAAAGTTGTCTGATGTTCTTTTTACATCAATATTAGCAGGAAAAAAATGATTTTTTTCCTGGCTTCTTTTTGGCTGGTGTTTCGTTTTTTTTTTTTTTTTTTTTTTTTTTTTTTTTTTTTTTTT